AAAGTCGTGGGTTCGGGTCCTGCCGCAGCCGGGCTTTTTTTCTTCAGAAATGACCTTGACTCACAGATCGACTCAACCTTGAATGGGTGCCAGGCAGAGCTGAATGTTAAATGTTGAATTAGGAATCGACATCACATCACTCGGGACACTCTCATACGTGCACAGTCCCCATCTTCAGCAGCAATCGAAGAGTTCCAATTCCGATGGTACCAATTCTGATTGTATATCCGTCTCATTCTTCCCAGGAGTGTTGAGCGTCAGCTAGATCCCCTGGTAACCCATCGCAGGTCCATTCTCCTCAGACCGTAATGATCTATTTGTGCCTCCGCACTGTTCACTGGCTACCTCACAACGTCTAGCTTGTCATACATTAATTTATCACCAAGTTGTGCAGAGACATCCAGTCTATCGGCCTGCTCATGTCCCAACACACCGGCATAACCTAGAGAAAATATCCAAAGGATGCTAACTACCCGGGATATCTGAAGTGATGCTTGCTGCTCTGCACGAAGCATGCCTATCTTCACCTTTCTCAACATGCTCTGTGAGTCAGTGACAATCACAGCATGTGTGTACATCTGATTCTCAAGCCAGTGGATGCAACAGTGACCGCCTCCACCTCCATTCTCAAACTAGACGTTGTGATATCAAATGACAGGCTTTGTTGCACTAAGCAAGGTCCATTCGCCTGTGCTATATAAATTCACTTCGTCTGCCCCTCAACACAAAGCCATCTGTATAGATAATCACATCACTTGGATGGGAATTGTCATAAATCATTTGTTGAACTTCTAATTCGGCAGCGCTAGCCGACCACGATCCAAAGGGATAAGAACCCTACACAAGTCTGAAACTTGCTCGATCATTTTGACTTACTCCTCACCTCGCACAAATTTATCAAGCCTGTCTTCGGCTTACGCCATCCAAGACCTTCCTCTTTTCAGTCTGTGACCCCTAGATCTACTAAGGTTGATGCAAGAGGTGCTTCTTGTCTGTAGCTACTCTGAGATATGACTTTGCTTGCAGAACTGTGAGCCTGTCCGCAATAGTAGGCAGTACAAGTTTATATCGCACACATACTACCGGGGTATCTTTTGTACATCCCAAAATTACCCGCAGGGCTTCATTCTGTATGCGTTCAAGTTTAATGAGCTGACTGTTTTATATGGTAAGCATTCCAAGTCCATTATGTATCACCTACAGAATTATATGCTGGAACATTGTGAGCATCATTCTTTGTTCCGTGTCCATTGCTGCCATAACCTTGAGAGCATAGAGTCCTTTTGTCATTTCACTGCAACTGCATCCACGTGATTCCTATAGGACAGGCTTTCTTTTGAAAGCGATCCATAGGTACCTCAGTTTGCTTTCTCTTTTGATGTTATTGTTATTCATTGTGAGGCTTGAAACATTAGCACTTACAATTCTATTCTACAAAGAGAACCACAAAACAGTCGCCTTTTCTGAGTTGATGACAGCACCCATTTCTGCACACCAGTCAGTCACTTTGTCTACAGTTGCCTGTAGCTCTTGGGCTATCCGTTGCCTATTACTCTCCTGCCTATATGCAAGAACATCATCAGCAAATGTCAATATCCTTCCAAAACATCAAGTCCTGCAGTCTAATTCAAATTCAAATTCTCTTTCGTTGACCACTTTCAGCTAGGTCCGCTCACATTTCTGCTCACTTTCCTTTCAGCTATATTTGTGGTGACGTTTTCTGGTCTCGATCTCATTTGATTTTGGATTGTGTTCAATATTGTCGCTTTCTATTTGTTGTGGTTTCCGCTCTTGCTGTTGCTTTTGTAATTTGGCTGGCCCTGTGCTGCGCTCAAGATGATTGGATGTTGAATCGATTAATTGTGGTATTCCTTGGCTGTTTGTTGTTTCCGGGGCAAGTAAATTGCCTATCCTAATAAGGACCGGCGGTTGATTGACTTGGTCTGGTACTGATGGCAATACTGGTGAGGTCTGGTATTATTTGGTGATTTTCTCGTATCCTTGTACTACTCCTACATAGGGTTTCGGTAATTTTGGCCTTGGTTGTGTCGTATCTGGTATTAGTGTTTGGGGTAACGGTGTCGACCTCGTTTGACTTCAGGTTTTGGCTGTCGATATGGTTCCTCTGGTGATGACCAAAGAACATCATCATCTTGCAGTTCTGAGTTAAAGAAGTTCGGGTCCTCCAGCTACATGATGCGTTGGTTTATTTGGTCAGCAGTTGCCATCGGAAACTGTTTCATCAGCGTCGTTGGAGTTTTCTTATCTGGTGTTTGATGTGGCTTTTTCTGGGTCTCGGCTCCCTGTATTTGCTGCCTTCTTGTTGCCTCTTTCCGTGCTTTCTCTCTTTCTTCCTCCTGCAGTCTTGCTTGTAGGCACATTTAAGAGCACTGTTGAAATTGCAGAACCCTGCGGTAGTCCCGGAGCGATATTACATGGTTCTTAGGTGTATGTACCCAGGCTAAGGGCAACCACACGTGAATACAGTACATCTGCCATCCAGTCCACAGCCAGGGACAAACCCTTCTTCTCCATGAGTGCAGATTGCAAAATATCATATCTGACTCTATTGTAGGCATCCTTAAAATCAAGTGCTGCCACTACTGTCTCTTGTCTGTTTTGGAAGCCCTCCTATACCAGGGGGAAAAAAAAAAACTTTTATATAACAGAAAATATTAAAGAAAGATAATAAAACTTCGCCTTTCTGTCTTTCTTCTTCTTCTTTTTCTTCTGTCTATCTTCTAATAAAACATAAGCTTTAAAAAAGCTCGTACAAGGTGGTCGTACCCTTTGCCGCCACGAGAGTCTGGCTGGTCCAATGACCAGGAAGAATCCACAACCTCTATTGAAACAGTAGGAAAGGCTCCTTGCTTCTTCTGTTGCTCTTGTCTATGAAGCTCATCGAGAAATTCGATGTCAGTCCCTAGACGTGATACGCCTTAGCGTTTCCTCTGCTCTTATTTCCACATAACTAATCTCGAGGAGAGCTCTCCGTGGACGGGAGATGAGAAAAGAAGTCGTGGACGACACAAGGAAACCCGAAGGACAGTAGAAAAGGAAATGCAACTATGTCAAATGACATCAGGTAGGCTTAACTCTTCATGTCCCAAGTAACGCACTATATGTGCTAAGCTGTTTTTTTTTTTTTTTTTTTAATATATCAGCGCAACACATGGTGTGTTTTATTTATTTCGTGTTTGGTCTGGGTATGCAAAAGAAATCTGGCCAAAAATTTTAAAAATAGAATGTATGCTGTATCTTTGAAAGTCATAAACTGATGCTTTTTGTTTTCATTGTGATTATCGTGCTAAATAGGGTTTCTACTTTGAAATTATATGGGACTCATCATCATCATGTGCCCTGCCAACTGGCGTAGGCGCTCATGCGTCTCCACAGATCACGATCCTTGGTAACCTGGAACAGCTGTCTTGATGATATCCCACCATGCCATCGTTTCAGCCCATCCAGCATCATCTCACTTGGTCTGCCTCTACCCATTTTTCCACTGATCTTTCCAGTTGTCCCGATGTTCTCCAATGTCTCTCTTCTCATTGTGTGGTCAAAGAACAGTGTTTGTCTCTTTCTTATTGCTGTATATAGAGATCTACTTTCATTAGCTTCTTTCAAGCAATCATTGTTAGTTACTCTGGCCGTCCAAGGTATTCGTAACATTCGTCTCAAAAACCACATCTCTGTTGGTTCCAAATTCTTCCTGATTTGTTCACTGACATTCCAAGATTCGCTGCCACACAGCAGAATAGGTTCTATGAAACATTTTAGCACCATCTTTCTGACATTAAATGAGAGCGATTTATTGCATAAGATACTTTTCATTTTCTGAAATGCAGCTTTCGCCTGACCTATTCTGCTTTTAATCTCTGTCACACATTTTCCGTCTGATGATATGATTGTTCCCAGATATTTGAATTTATTGACTTGGTTAAGTGTTTTTCCTTCAATTGAGATTGTCACAACGTGGAGTTACCTTCTTCTTTATTATATCCATTACTTCCTTTTTCTTAATATGCAATGAAAGTCCTTTTTTTAGTACTCTCCATCCCCACAATATCCAGCAGTTGTTGTAAATCAGTTGATTTACAGCTATCAAAATTGTATCGTCTGCATAACGCAAATTTACTATATAGAGAGAAAAAGTCTTGGGATAAGACACATCCTTGTCTTACTCCTTGCTTTATCTGTTCAAAAGTACGCAATATGTTTCCTACTTTATTTGCTGCCATTTGTTTCCAGTAAATGTTTTTAATTATTCTGAGATCTTTCCCGTCTACATTGATGTCTTCCAACATTTTAATCATCTCATCATGTTTAACTGTGTCAAATGCTTTGGTATAATCTATAATCTTTTGTATATGGGTGTGACCAGAGGGTCTGGCCGTCTCACTGCACTCAGAGGAAGAGCAAGATAGACATATAACCAGATTATGACCGGCACTACTAGTTTTGGAACTCTGCACTGGCTGCTGAAGATGAGGTCGGAGCACGCATGGAAATGCCCCGAGTACTGTGATGTCAATTCTTGACTCAACTCGATTTTCTGCCCAGCTATCAGCTCATCATATGCCAGATTTAACTATGTTTCAAATCTTCACAATTACTACACTTTCCTTGATTAGAATCAATATTTCAGAAGGTAGAAGATTCAAGAAAAAAAAACAACAACATAGGAAATACTAAACATAAGCAGGCGCAGAAAATCTTTCTTGTATTTTAATAGGAAATAACAGTTTACACAGAAATGTAAAAATAGCATTTTACATATACATTCATATAAAAACGCCATTATAAAAACATGCTTATACAGCCAACGTTATGTCTTAATAGTGATACAAGGGCACAAAGAATAGTGAAAAAAAATAGGTGATCAGATCTAACTGTGGTACATTCACAATATTTCCTGGTGTTGAACAACCACTAGGCGACTGTCACTCCTGTCTGCTCCTCGAAATAGTGTCTCTAGAAGCATCTCGGAGAAGATGAGCTTATTTCGTAGTCATCATTCGAACAAATTCTGTAAGATGATAGGATAAGAAGCTCATTTTAAATTTAAATTAGACCATTTCTTTAGATACTTAGTGAGTACAGGTACCTTGGGGGGGGGGGGGGGGGGGGGGGGGAGCACTAATTAATACAATTAGATAATATGAATAAAGTTAACAAAACACAACGAATATTTTAAGAAGACAAAAGTGTCGGGGGGGGGGGGGGGGGAATCGGGCATGTACGAACCAATTCTGTAAGATAAGAAACTAATTTTGAATTTAAATAAAGATATTACAAGGCGTAGACTCCATTTCATTCATTATCCTGTTGTGCCGTTATTTGTTTTTTCTTAGAGACTTCTGTTAATTTTTCACTCCCCTTGAATAAATCCCACTGTGTGTTCATCATTTTCACGAGGCACATGTTTTTGAATGCATTTACGTTTCTAAAACACTGGCCAGACTCCACTGCACCAGACTGGAGGTTGCATGGTCTTGAGGCATGGTCTCCGCCTAGAGTGCTAGAGGTTCCGTGTTCAATTCCAAGTAAGGGCTGGGATTTTTTCACGTGGACTTGGACTTCTAGTAATTCTGCCTGGTCTCTGGGTAGTGAGATCGGACGCCCGTGTGCATTGTGCGCAAGTAAACAAAAATCTCTTGGCAGTTGGAAATCGAAAAAAGTAGCCCTCGCAGCGCTGCCCTGGCAACATTTGGATTTAAAAATCTACCTAAAGTATTTCAGGATCCTCGCCGGTGCTACAGAGCCTGTGCACTGAGCTGAGCTTCTTAAGACTCAGACTTGAGTTCGAAGAACAGAGTACTTATGGGTTACTACCCGTGTGTCATGATTTTGATCCGTTGTTTAAACATCAAACCCCAAACCTCATTGCACCAGATTTTGCCCCACGTTGTTTAGGTCTCTCTGTTCATGGAGGTTAGTGACCACCTGAGGAAAATGCAAACAGCAAGATGCCCGTGGTTTTTGTGACGACCCATGAGAATGCCTAATGGTTCTTGTGACGACCTATGAGGATGCCTGATAGTTCTTGTGACGACTCATGAGGATGCCTAATGGTTCTTGTGACGACCTATGAGGATGCCTGATAGTTCTTGTGACGACCTATAAGGATGCCTAATGGTTCTTGTGACGACCCATGAGGATACATAATGGTTCTTGGGACGACCCATGAGGATGCCTGTGGTTCTTGTGACGACCCCATGAGGATGCCTGATAGTTCTTGTGACGACACATGAGGATGCCTAATGGTTCTTGTAACGACCCCATGAGGATGCCTGATGGTGACGACCCCATGAGGATGCCTGATGGTTCTTGTGACGACCCCATGAGGATGCCTGATAGTTCTTGTGACGACCCATGAGGATGCCTAATGGTTCTTGTGACGACCTATGAGGATGCCTGATGGTGACGACCCCATGAGGATGCCTAATGGTTCTTGTGACGACCCATGAGGATGCCTAATGGTTCTTGTGACGACCTATGAGGATGCCTGATGGTGACGACCCATGAGGATGCCTAATGGTTCTTGTGACGACCCATGAGGATGCCTAATGGTTCTTGTGACGACCCATGAGGATGCCTAATGGTTCTTGTGACGACGTATGAGGATGCCTAATGGTTCTTGTGATGACCCATGAGGATGCCTAATGGTTCTTGTGACGACCTATGAGGATGCCTGATGGTGACGACCCGTGAGGATGTCTAATGGTTCTTGTGACGACCCATGAGGATGCCTAATGGTTCTTGTGACCACCCAGGAGGATGCCTAATGGTTCTTGTGACGACCCATGAGGATGCCTGATAGTTCTTGTGACGACCATGAGGATGCCTAATGGTTCTTTTGATGACCCATGAGGATGCCTAACACCCCTGAACCAAATCAAAGAGTCCAAAGCCAAACCAACGACCCTCAGAGTTCGAGGCAACCGACTCAACCATTTCACGATAAAAATCATTAAAAAAAAAGTTTACAATGTAAACGCTCTCAATATAATACGGTAATACATTTAACAAATCAACACAAATAGAATTATTTCATTGATAAGAGGAAAAGCAAACGCCAGACAAAAGTTACGTTAACATCAGGACTTTTTCTTTCTTTCTTCAGTTTTCAACCGTGCACAGTACCGGCATCTGTTTAAGGCATCAATTGTATCAGCCTTAATGTAATAGACATTCGAGTGCCGGCGTCGTTTGTTCTGTTAAAGACACTTTATGGTAAGTCCGGTATATGTTTGCCTAGAAGAAAAACCTGCTTAATACAATTAGATAAATACAAGAAAGCGAATGTAGAAAAAATACCTTTAAAATAAAACAAAGAGACGACAAAAAAAGTCAACGGTCAACAATTCTGACACAACTTTGGGGAAGCTGTATGCTTTTTCTAAGGATTGTTAGAAAATTGAATCAAAACATACCATTAAAATAAATATATTTCAACACGGTTACAGTGATGATAGACTTCATGTTGTAATTTATCAAAAGTTTTTATCTTCCGCTACTACTGACCTTCATAGTTGACCTGTCCATCGCCATCCATGTCTGCTTCTCGGATCATCTCATCGACCTCTTCGTCCGTCAACTTCTCGCCGAGATTCGTCATCACGTGCCGCAGCTCTGCTGCCGATATGAATCCGTTGCCGTCCTTGTCAAAGACACGAAATGCTTCTCGAAGTTCTTCCTCTGAGTCGGTGTCTTTGATTTTTCTGGCCATCATAGTTAGGAATTCGGGAAAGTCGATTGTTCCGTTTCCTGTGGCGGGAAACACAAAATATTAAAACAGATGCAGACAGCAACATCATCCTCCAGAGGCCATTACCTTGTAGTGGTGGGGGAGCTTGAGAGCTTCAATGATCTAATGAGCTATGCCGGCGGGAACGTATGTTCCTGGTAGGGTCACCCAAGCCGGACAGGTCATTGGTGAGACTAAAGATGGCCTCCCGGTCCTCCAGGCTCGGGGGTTGGGCGCAGTGTTGACAGCTCTTCCCTGTAAAAAATCTACAACGTTACTGAAACTTCAAGAGGAAATAAGTGCTCTAAACGTCCGGCGGTCTAGGGACAGAGTCCCTCTGTCAGAATGAACAACATGGGTGAAAGCCGAAAGGACGCCTATGATGGGAAAACAAGTCTACTGGACGTCAAAACCAAATTGACCTGAATGCGGCATCTCTGACATGGAAAACTGCAATGAAAATTGTACAGGACAGGAAAGCATGGAAAGTCCTCTCTGAAGCCTCATGTGCCACTTGGCATAAAGAGAACTGATGATGATGATAGATAGCAGCATGTGAAGTCTTTCTGTCCCGACCAACGTACAGTGTGTGCTGAGCTATAATCGTGTGTAGCAAACAAGGAACCATGTATAATTATATATTTTACATTTGGTTTGAGTATGCTAATGAAACCTGGTCAGATATGCAAACATACAGCACAGTAACTAACATACTCATGCTCTTGTCACTATGGCTGTTATCTCATTAAGTACGATATTTAAAACAAAACTTTCTGTTACTGAAAGAGTTAATAGCTAATCAACTACTAATAAACTTCTTAGGTCTATGCCGTTTGACCTTTGCAGGCATGCCTGTCCTGTAGACTTCAGTCACGTGTATCAATCATTTTCATACATATGTTCCTCCATGACAAAATATGCATCACATCTTTTCTGTTGGATTTTTTCTCTGATTCTCTTGTCCTTTAACTTTGCACAAGTCGAGTCGTAGTACAGTTTTTTTTAATAATGTTGCTCAGCCTTTTAGGCTTAATATGCACCACATAGTCTGTCTTCTTCTATTTTAAACATTTCCCTGTCCGAGAGTCCCATAAAAGAGTGAAAGATCGAGGCCTGGAGCCATGAGGTTACCAGGTCCGGCCCACCTAACGAGATTGTCTAGGGAAATAATGGGCTAAAACAATCGTCGACGCAAGATCTCTCTACTGATGACGGTGGGCCCCTGCTGTCCATGCATGTGGAGATCTTCTAATAAAGGAATATGCTCAGGAAGTTAGAGATGGCCTTGGCCTGAAGACGGTGGTTGTTGTCTCTGAGGCGGTCTTGGCTCACAAGGATCGGTTTCATTTTCCTGCCAGGGCATGCAGTTATATAAGGAAATGAGCAAGCTGAAAGGCTTACAGTGAATGGTAGATGAGACATGGACCAGGCTTACAGTGAATGGTAGATGAGACATGGACCAGGCTGACAGTGAATGGTAGATGAGACATGGACCAGGCTTACAGTGAATGGTAGATGAGACATGGACCAGGCTTACAGTGAATGGTAGATGAGACATGGACCAGGCTTACAGTGAATGGTAGATGAGACATGGACCAGGCTGACAGTGAATGGTAGATGAGACATGGACCAGGCTTACAGTGAATGGTAGATGAGACATGGACCAGGCTGACACAGTGAAAGCTTTTCGAGAAGTAAGACGTTTGCGACAACCAAGTGATTACTGTGAATCCGCAACAATGACCAGACTGCAAGAACCGCAAGTTAAAAATGATTAGGCCAAATAAGAGCACTATGTAGGAAACTAAAGAAGAACGATAAACCAATACAAAGCTGGTGTCGTCAGCCGATACAGGCTTTAATGAGGAGTGGATCCGAGCACTTATGAACCGAACGATTCGATGTACAATGAGGATAATCTGTAGACTAACTTCGTTTTCTTTTGACTAGTATTTCCCAAACTTAAGTCTAATTTCGCTATTCTGACTCTTCGGTCAATGTGTACTATACAGTTTATTGACCTTTTTCTCACAGTTTTGATAAGTGATCTAGTAAAACTTTTCAACAAATAAGAGTTTGTTTTCTTCCTTACTCGGAATATTTATACTTTTGTTAAAAAAAAAAAAAACACACACACACACACTCACACACACGTCTCAACAACATCTACTTCTTAAAGATACTCTACATTCGCACAGTTACAGAAGCATATACAAGACAAAACTTACAGAGAGGTATAAACTGCCTTCACAAGGCAGCTGAATGATCGAAGACCATGAGGCAGACCAAGAAGACGATTGAGAGATCATAACCAGACAGACCTACAAACACTCGCTGTCACCATCTGGAAAGAGAATAACAACAGAGAGACGAACGGAGGTGTGTGATATCTGCAAGTATGAACCCCAAGGGTTAGAAATGCCGAAGAAGAAAGACAGCAAGCTTCTTTATTTGCCTCTAATATTTGTTTCTCTTGAAACTGTTAAATTTAGTGTGTGAGGGGGAGGGGGGGGGGAAGTAAATATATTATTATCCTCATCAATATGCCGTATCTTCCATCAGATAACACTGCGTAACTCCTATGTTTAGACATATTGACCTTTTTTATTTTTATACTTTTATAAATATAACACTCTAAAAATATATTTATTGCTGTTAGAAACGATGAAGAGCTGATGAGAGACAATAAAAACAATAGTCTCAACACGCAATATATTTTATACTTGTTCGTACCATCAGCGTCCACTTCATTGATCATGTCTTGCAGTTCAGCTTCTGTTGGGTTCTGTCCCAGAGATCGCATCACTGTACCCAGTTCCTTAGTTGTGATGGTGCCATCTCCGTCTTTGTCGAATAGGCTGAATGCCTCTTTGAATTCTGAAAAAAAAAACAAAGTTCAAAGATACATACTTTTCTTTGCACGACCTAATTAGTACTGGAGACGATAAATGACTGGCTAACCAACAAAGAGACTTTGAAGCCGCTGAGGTCTCAATGAACCTAAGACTAAGTTAGACATAGCCCTTTACTATGGGGCACATTTTGTTAGCGTTCTTTGTGGTGTCGCATATCTATAAACTGCTTCTCGGTTGGATCAAGATTCTCGAAGATACACACACACACACACACACACACACACACACACACAAAGAAAGAAAAAACAACAACAACAACATCTGAACCAAGAACCTCTAAGAATCTATGTGCCTCTTGATAGTTATTAAACTTCATCGGTACACCTCCTTTACGCCTCGCTGGGTTCACAGAGTGACCTAAAATGGCGAGCTGTAAATAATCCCAGTGGGTAATTCTTTCCTATTATATATTGTGAAATCATCATTGCACCAGCCCCACCTGACTGATGCAGACATTTTTTCAGACTTCATACTACTTGAACAAAAATGTACCTTACCTAAAGAATTAATATAAGAATATTCAAAAGCATTTACAAATAGCCAACCAATTTAAACAAACCACCAATCAGACAACTACTAGAGACAACATTGCAGATATAAATAATCGATTTCACGCGAACGAAAGAAGAAGAACAAGAACAAGAAGAACAATCAACTAATTATCAAAGTAACCACTCAACCAGCAGAACAGCCAATAAACAACACAATAGATCAAGGAATTAACTAAACAAACAATCAAGCAAGCTACATAGCCAACAAACCATGCAGTCAATCAACACAAAATAGCCTTGTTGACTTAATGTTGAAAACGTTTTCCTGGCTCCTCTTTTGATTTAACTGAACATGTTTTACACTGTTTTTTTTGCCATGGCAATATATATATATATATTATATATATATATATATATATAGATATATATATATATATATTAATATATATAATTTACTGCCCTCACAGTGTCTCATTGCTTGCCATGCCAGTGTCCAGCTAGCTCAAGTAATGGTCATTATTTCCCACTCTTACAATCACAATAACTTGTTACACCCAAGAAGCGCTGGACTAGAAACTGTTCCTCCTCATGATGCTCAATAACAAAAGTAGGAGTTGATCATGATGACGCGTCTCTTGTGAACAAAACAAAACACACACAAAAGTAAAAATAGGCAAACGATAACGAACCTGCCACCTGCTCGTCGGTCAAGTCAGTCGCCTGCGAAAACAGAAAAACATACAAAGACGATCACGTGATCTGGCTTGTTATTGAAATCCATATTAATATGAAACATAAAAGTCAAGGACCCTTCAGGCTTGTTGGGTATATAGCGCTAGACCTCTATTTAATAGACCAATCGACATTAGATGGGTGATGTGGTCTGCATCCCACCGGTCATTTTTGCTTCCCAGGACTGTACCTGGCACCCACTCAAGGCTGGGTCTACCTTAGGACCAAGGTTATTTTTGATCCATCAGGATCCGATCCCACGACCTTCTGATCAGCAGTCGAACGTCTAGCCACTACACCACGGTGGCTACCAAAATGAAACATGAGTAGCATCAATGAAATATTACTAACTACATGCTATAGATGCCTCAGGAGATTACTGCCATCATTTTAGAGAAACAAGATTACAAAGGAAGAACTGACGGGGACAACAAAAGGTTCATCACTGGAAAACATTGTCGAGTGAAGATGCAGATGGCTTGTGTTTCTTTGCAGAATGCCTCCTGGCACTCTGGCAGGGACAGCTCTCCAAGGGACGACAGATTTGACAAGGGGGCAGACTAGAGCAAGTTATTTTTCTACGCATTCGAACAGGACACAGTCAACTTCGCAGTCACATGTACACAACAATTCTCACACGACTACTGTTCTTCGCATACGTCGACCAAATTTACAAATCAACTAAAATCAAAGAAGGGGTCAACATTGGAGAATTACTAAATGAATAGCTTTTCGCCGATGACCAGGCAATTAAAGCACTAACAGCAGTTCAGCCGAAAGAACATATTAATAGAGTCCGCTCAGAATGTGACAACTATGATGCGGAGATCAACGGAGACAAAACAGAAGTGATGACATTCTCCAGAAAAAAGAAGAACCACCAATATCAAAATTGATGAACACCAGTTAAAGCAGGCGAACATTTTTACATACCAGTGGAGCATTTTTTCAGAAGACTGAAGAATAAATAATAAAATCAAAGACGCAATAAAACTAATTAAGTTTTAGGCCAAATTGCGCCCATTTTGAAATGCAAGGATGTGAATATGAAAACTAAAAGAACACTGTTCAACGCAATATTCTTACCAACTATTTGCTGTCAACGTCAGAAGACAGAAGGAAAATAGTCGCGACAGAAAATAAATGTTTACGTACTATGTTAGATGTCACCAGAAAATTAATACTTAGGAACGGTGATATCACGAGGAGAGTCGGCAAAGAACCAATACTGAACTTTATAGGTAGACAAAAAAAATCAAATGGTTTGACCATGTAACAAGAATGACAGCAAACATGGCGCCACAGGGGGGTGCTTTTATACAGATACAGCTGTAACAGACCCAGAGGTCGACCACGCAGAATATTTTGCACAGAAGTATTAGAGACACTGAAAATTACTTTATATGAAGCGAACAGAAGGGCCCGTTCTAGAGATCTCTTCCTATTCTGATGCCGCGAGGCATTTCACGAGTAGAGAAAGGAAGAAGAGTGTAAGGTAGATTACAGTAAAGTTTATTACAGTTAAATAAATTATAGTTAGTACTGTAAAGTAAACAACAGTAAATTACATAAAAGTGAAGCAACTGTACACTCTAATTCTGACTGTATGGTGGATAAAACCAAAAAATATAACTGATTGCTTTTATTTCCCTCTTAAATTGAGTATGCTTATCGGATGATCTGGTGAAATGCTAGGAAAGCTAATTAATACTAGAAAGACAGAGTTAACACAAACTGTTAATTGAAAGGATTATATTCTGACAGGTGGATTTCTTTGAATATGTTAAGAAACACAAAGTTTGTTTTGAAAACGGAAAGATCTGAGGACAATAGAAACAGAAAAGCAAAAATAAGATACGGGTGGATGCTAATTTGGTTTAAAAGAAGAAGAAGTTAAATCAAGGAAGAAGGGTGAAATCAAGGAAAAAGTTTTAATTAGTGAAGGATAGAACGAAAGCAAAAAGAAAGAAGGCGTTCAAGAAAATATGGGTAGAGGAAAGAAAGGACAGACCGGAGACAATGGGGGTGGGGGGTGGGGGGGGGGGAAATGAGTGATGGAAAGAATGAATCAAATAGGAAGAGAACCGGGAAGGCTAACTCGGTCAACAAATGCCCGCAGAAGTCGGAACAAGTCATTATCCTCCGCCCCAGAACAAGGCACAACCGATTACGTAACCACAAGTACACAAAATTCAAGATAGGTGTATCAGCCATCTGCACCTGTGGAAAGGTGCCCCAGACAGCAGAGCTTGTACTCCAGGACTGCACCGATTTTGACACATTAAGGCAAACCTTTTGGCTAGAAAGAACAACAGTGGAAAGTAAACTCTATGGACCACTGAATGAATTAACAACAACAGTGAAATTTATACTAGAGACAAAATTGCTGATATAGACAACTTATTTCAGGCGAACGAAAGAAGAAAAAGAAGAAGAAGTCAGATGTGTTGGCCGAAAAGTGCAAATATCGCAGCCATGCTGTAAACAGACACAACGCAATTACATCTTTGGATGATCGCAGAAGAAGAAGAAATAGGAAGAGAAAATGAATAAGCAAAATTAAGACGGATATATTAACAGAATAAAGGGTAGAATTGTGGACTAAAAATAGTAAGGAAATGTGAATAGACCTTTAACGTGGGCGATTTAATGATATCAAGAATGATAGCCGAATGACTGGAGCGGGGGATGGAATAGGGGGTGGGGGGGGGGGGTGAATACATAATGTAGAAAATATAATTTCTTCCTTTTATGAGTTCTTCCGAAGATGTAATTAGGTTGTGCCCATTTACAGAATGGTTGCGATATTTGCACCTTTCCGCCAACACATCCAACTTCTGCTGGCATTTCTTGACTTGGTTAGCCATCCCTGGAATATCTATATTAATAAATTATATTTTTTAAAAATCCTAATTTTCCGATGTTGTAATCCCTAAACTCGGAAACTACTGAACCGATTGCTTTCAAATTTGCACACAACCTTACCTTCGACTCCAAGCGTGAATTTTTGTCAGAAAATCGCACAAACCACGAACGACGTAGCTCCAGCAACGGTGAAATCATTATTGTTTCGTTGCCAGCCCGGATTTTTCAATCTTTCGAAGAGGGAGATATGACTGGGGGAAAAGGGGGGAGGGGGGGGGGGGTTATGCCAAACACAGTTAGCTGAGAGAGCTTAAAATATTATTTTAATGTTTTTACTTCCTAACTCTTTCTATTTTAATAATTTCTTAATGGATGATTTTTCAATCCTTCGGAAAGAGAGAGAGAGAGAGGGGGGGGGGGGGGGAATATGACAGACACTGTTAGCTGAGAGCTATTTTCTTTCCTCTCCATTTCAGCATTCTGGGCCACAGCAACGCGTGGCCGGGTACAGCTAGTATAATATAAGACTGAAGGGTGCTGATTTAGCATTTACAAATGCGTATCAGACTGTTTATCATGGCCGTCTTCAAGTGTCTTTGCCGACTGAAGTAGTCGATAATGCTGCTTCACATCCAACGACCTCGAAAAGCATGTATCAGTTTGTATGCTGACACATATGCCTACACGAAAACTCTGCCAAGAAGCTTCTCTCATTGTTTGTCATCTCTTTTCTCGTAAATAATTTTAGTTGTAATAACATGTAACAATTTTGTCTTTTCGTTTGTTGAGACTATTTAACGCATATGCGAGTCATAGATTATTTCACAATAAGTAACGAAGAGAAGGCTTTTACATGTTACACGGAGATTCTCAGAGTATAATGGACCAAGAAGAGAAAAAATATTGATATATCCGGAAACTGAAAAATCTGGAGTTGGTTTTTTAATATGGCCGTACTGGGAAACTGAAATAAGGTGTTACATAAATCTCTTCACCCTGACTGGCTATTTCTAGCTACACGACTTTCCCGACGCTTTCATGACATGGTACGTCGTTATTTCCTTTGGTATACTTACTGTTTGGTGACGTACTGTTTTGTATGTGTACTTTTGGTATACGTACTGTTAGGTATACGTACTGATTAGTATACGTACTGTTTTGTCTGTATACTGTTTGGTATAGTACTGTTTGGTATAGTACTGTTTGGTAAACGTACTGTTTTGTATGTGTACTTTTGGTATACGTACTGTTATGTATGTGTACTGTTTGGTATACATACTGTTTGGTATACGTACTGTTTGGTATACGTACTGTTTTGTATGTGGATTGTTTGGTATATTTGGTATACGTCAAATATAAAAAACGAATTAATGACAAATTCCGAAGTACCACTGATATGTAATGACTAAAGCGAAGCAATAATACTTCTCCAAATCTGGATTTCAGTCAGTCTTTTTGCAATGGAAATAGTTGTTAGAACTGTGCTATCTGTCATCAGATATTAATTTAATATAGTAGTAGTAGTAGTAGTAGTAGTAGTAGTAGTAGTAATAGTAGTAGTAGTAGTAGTAGTAGTAGTAGTAGTAGTAGTAGTAGTAGTAGTAGTAGTAGTAGTAGTAGTAGTAGTAGTAGTAGTAGTAGTAGTAGTAGTAGTAGTAGTAGTAGTAGTAGTAGTAGTAGTAGTAGTAGTAGTAGTAGTAGTAGTAGTAGTAGTAGTAGTACATTTTACCCCACTTTGACATCACACAAGCGATAAACACCTGATGACATAAAGTGCCACCATGCGGATGAGTATCACCCGTGGAGAGGTCCTAGAAACAGCGTTCAACCATTAAACCATATTTAGGGCCGGGCTAGGGTGGGGCTTCAAAATAACGAAAAATTGCATCCCACAAGGTGATGACTGATAGTAATATTGTTTAGGAAACTAAACAACTGAAATATCTCTTCCAGGGAAGATCACTCTTTACACTGAATCCTGAAACGTAAGTATTTTGTTTTGTGTTTTGTGGTGCACTCTGGACAATAGAATTGTAAGAGCTTATGTTCCAAGCCACACAATTAAAAACAGTAACATCAAAAGAAATCAAAATGTGAAATCTGTCTTTCTCTCTGTATTTATC